TCGATGCTGTGGCTGCGAGTGTGCGTGAAAATCCATCAACGTCAACACGTCATCGTTCCCAAGAATTGAACATTTCCCGCACCAGTTTACGACGAATTTTGCGGAAAGATCTCGGTATGACGCCTTACAAAGTTCAATTGGTTCAAGAGTTGAAGCCGCGTGACCATCCACTTCGTTCTGCCTTCGCTACATGGGCCAACGAGCAACTAATCAATGATGTCGATTTTGCGAAAAAAATAATCTTTTCAGACGAAGCTCATTTTCATATTGGTGGCTACGTCAATAAGCAAAATTGCCGTATCTGGGGCTCGGAAAACCCACACGAGGTCTTAGAGAAGCCAATGCATCCCTTGCGAGTGACTGTTTGGTGTGGATTGTGGAGCGGAGGCATCATTGGCCCATATTTCTTTGAAGACGGGGACGGCGCAACCGTTTCTGTCAATGGAAACACCTATCGCACCATGATAACTGATTTTTTTGTTCCTGCTCTTGATGGTATTGATGTGGAGAATGTTTGGTTTCAGCAGGATGGTGCAACTTGTCACACATCGCATGCCACAATCAACTTATTGCGCGAAACCTTCGATGGCCGTTTAATCAGTCGAAATGGTGATGTCAATTGGCCGCCAAGAAGCTGCGATTTGACACCATTGGACTATTTCCTGTGGGGCGCTGTTAAAGACAAGTGTTATGTCGACCATCCAGAGACAATTGACCATTTGAAGGCCAACATTCGTGATGCCATTGACGAGATACGGCCCCAAACACTCGAAAAAGTGCTCGAAAATTGGTCCGATCGAATGGGCTACTGTGAGGCCAGCCGCGGCAGCCATTTGAATGAAGTAATATTTCATTTCTGAGCGGAACAATTGTACTTCAAAACAAAAAAATAAATTTGGCAATATCTCAAACCGTTTTTGTTTTATTTTATTTTTAAATCGAAACTTTTAAATGGCCCACCCATTAGAAGCAAAGAAAACAAATACTCGTATTAATTATTTATTTCTGCAACTTGATGATGAGTGGCATTTTGTGATGCATCTCTAGTCTTTTTTAAAACAATTGCATCTTTTGTTTGTGCAATTGTTTTTACAACCACATCTCACAAAATCTTGCTCTGATTGAGAGTCTTTAGCAGCGACAGTTCTTAGTGTTAACTTTTTTCTGGAACACGCTCCATGTCTATGAACCTCTGGTCAGCTACTTGGAATTCATTTCTTGCGTAGAATTTTTCAAGTACACCTGATGGTGTTCCTAGTTGATAGAGGTTACTGTCTTCTTTCCATTCCATAACAACAGCCATCACGTTTCGACGTGCAGCACGCCCTCACACTAACAGGGGCAAATTTTTTGTTGGACCTGCAGTATTTCACCGGCTTGCCTTTTCTGGGAAGCGGATGATGCTTCACGTGCTTTGGTAATAATTTTTCCTTGTCGAATGCAAATCATACATGGTTTGCTTTGCCAAAAAATATAGATGGGTAGTAATTTATTTCAAGCTTTATTTATTTCTTTTACTTAAATAGTTGAAATATCACTTACTTCTTTATGTTTGGCTTGATCGCTTGAGGTTTTGTATGATATTGCATGATTTCCTCTTCTACATCTGAGCTATTAGGGACGTCCACATTAGAATTGTCAATCAATATGTTTTCCAGCTCTTCTTCTCCAGTAATATTTTGGAGGACCTTATGAGGTATATTTGAATCGAATAGGCCATTACGTATAAGGATCGCCTCATACGGACTTCTGTTCATACCTTTATGAAAAAATCTTTTTTTTTTAGCTGAACAAATTGCAATCCTTTAGCTGAATTAGCGCTCTTATTATCTGCCATCCAAGATACCAAAATATCTCTAACATCCTGGTTTGCCCTTTCTACACTTCCATGGCTTTGAGAGTGCCTTGGTTTACGGTGAATTATTTTAGCTCCGAACATATTAGCAAGCTCATTTATAACAGCTGCTGTGAACTCTTTTCCATTGTCACTCTGGAGGATGAAAGGAGCACCTATTATACAAAAAATCTCTAAAAGATTGTCCGCTACCTCCGCAGCTCTTTGAGATTTTAAAGCTTTTTAAAGACACAAATTTTGTAGGATGGACCTGACAATTTAAAACAAACTTATAATATTTGTCTGGTTCTTGTTGCATATCAATAAGATCCACCTGCTCTCTTGAGTTCATATTGTGGCCTAACCACTAGCCCCTTTCCTTTATGTTTTTTTCCTCAACTGGCATTGTCCACATAAGCGTAAATAAATATCAATTATATCACACGTAATATTACAGTACTTTGTTTTAAGTTCTTTGTCCATGCACCGAGTTCTTTTATGTCCCGTATCAATCTGGGTTTTGTGAATAATATCATACAATTCTATATCTATATGGCAAAAATATTTTATTCCATCTTCACTAGAAATTCACTTTTTTATAAGTTTTTCTACATCCCCAATGGTTAAAATGCCATACCTCTTAGTTCGTCGATAATCCAGTGATGTCTTCTTTTACCTAGAGAAACTTTTATATCGGATCATGATTCATTGTACTTTTCTAGAATCAACATGCGATTGCGACGTGCGACGCCCGGCAATTCCTTCGTGACAGTGTTGCCGAACCGCATTTAATGAGCTTTGGTCATTTCGTATTTATACGATCCTAGGTTTGGCTTCTTGAAGACGGCCAAAGTCCGAATTTCATTTGAATTTCGGGCTTTGGTCGTTTAAAATAGTTCAATCCTAAGATTGAGCACAAAAACGACCATTGGCCGTTTTCGGGTTTTGCGCCCAACATATGCATAGAATTTAGGATATAAATTCATATTGCAAGTTTCAGATTGTCTATGCATGCACTTGAACCGGATTTTTCGGCATTTTTACCGAAATGAAAATATTTACCGAAGACGTCATTTTCCACGATTTTTCAAAATAATTCAAATATTTCCATACTACTACTATACTACAAAATAAATATTTAGTTAAAATGTGAGGTGATTTCATGAGTTCAGGGGAAAACAGAAAAATATGCACAATCCTATAAGCAAGATTCGAAAAATGAGCTTCTAGAATGGTTGCAAAGGACTTTGAATGAGCGACCAGTACGCGTATTGAACAAGTTGTAATATAGAACAATACTTTCAACAAAACATGTTGTGTGCGCACTCAATACAATAATAAACTTTTTTCATAGACGGCGCTACGTGACTCAAAGGGTCGTGATCTTGGGACGGCATTGTTTCGGTTCGGCAACACTGCATAAAACTTCAAATGCAAGTAAGATTCCAGACGTCTTTGCTCAACAAGAAAAAAGTCGGTACATTTCTACAGGTGGGTATTATGTACACCACCCTGTATGTAATATATAGACAAAACTAGATTGCCATACATGAACATTCCTCAAAAACGGTGGAAACATTCTATCAAATATAATAGCTAGAAAATCGACCTATTATTTCTTGCATTTTCATCGGTCCATTTAAATAAGTGCATGTCTTTCATGAAATGATAGAAATTGGCAATTCTATGAAAGTTATTCTAATTCTAAAGCTCAAAAACATTGTATTTCATCTAAAAACAACCGCTTTTTCGTGATTTTACTCAATACTTCAATAGAAATTACTGATGTTGGGAGAGCTTCTGTCAAACTGCATTTCAATAAGCTGTTCCCTAATTGATAGAAGACCCCTTTAGATTTTAATGTTAGTGAAATCGACCCTAAAATAATTAGCACAAACAGCGGCAATTGTATATAATATAATTGTATATTATTCCCAAGATGTGGTGCTTTACCAGGCGGGGTCATGTAAATGTTATAAACAATGTTGCAGGTAAAAAAGTGAGAAATCAACGATGTTTTATGACGACATTTCTGGGATAAATCGATTGAGTCATTAATAAAATATCATAACATCAGTGTTCAAAAGATCTCACAATACTGAGTCGTTAAGAATGAAATATAATAATATGTGTGAAATTATACTTTGAGGACTGGATAGTTTCAAGCTCAATAGATCGATAAATTGCGATATTTGCTAAAAGAAAATTAATGCTAAGGGTTTGGCCGACCAGTGTTCTATTATTAATAAAGAGCCGCAGGATTCAAATTACTGGTGTGTTCAGTGATCAAAATAGTAGAAAAAAGTTATCTGATTTTGGAACATTACACATTGAACAAACTAGTAATATAGCTTTCATTTGTCCGACAACGACCAGCTATGGACACCTGCTTCATGCTAATTGGCGACTCGTCAGCATAATGTAGGCTCGGTGTAAAACTGCTGAACAACTCTAGTCTATTCAGACTAGATCATATCACACTAAAGGTCCAGAATCGGTGGGATCTAGCGGACACAGTGGCGATCCGGCTGGCAATTCGAACTGGGAGACAGTTCCAACAATCAGCTTGATGTTTTCACTTTCGCAATAATTGGTTTTGGTAATATATGGCAATTTGTGCTGTCTTATTTCGATAAACTAAACTCAATCCTGACGTTTGGCGTGAAGCAAGAATATACCCAATATTTAAAAAAGATGCCAGAACTGCTATAGAAAACCATAGACCAATTACTTTGGTATGCAACTTTTTTAAAGGTTTGCAGTATTAATTGTACAATTTTATATATTATGTTAGTGCCAATAAGAGTAGATCACCTTTTCAGCACGGTTTTATGGAAGGGAGGTCCAGAATCCCTGGATGCAGGCGTGCAAACCGATGTCATTTATGCAGATATTAGGATGGATCATAATCAGCTACTAGCAAAACTTGATAGAATGAGTTTTTCAAATGATTTAGTATTCCTTTTAAAATTGACGAAGTTGTGACATGAAAATTAATCTATCATAGTGACCACAGACGGTCAACAATGAACCCGTTTCTGGCTTTTTGGCAACTGATCATCATAGTCTAGGCTTGGCCTCTATCTCTATCCCTTATTCAGGATATAAGGTCTATCGAAATAAGATAACACAAGGTGCTATCCATTACCTACCGTATTAGACTCACCGATATCCATCCGTTCTCCTCTTTGTGACTGACCTACTGTTGCAACATCAGTCAACTGCCTTCCTGTTCTGCCCCGTGATGGCGCCTTATATCCCTTGGTGGTACTGAGCAGTACCCATTCGCCTTCCACTGATGATGGTTCCCCATCCGGAGATGTTTCTAAAAGCACGCCGTGTTGTTGGCGTGGAAAATTTGCTGGAAGGCCGTCGGTGATTAAGGAGTGTGGCTCGTGCTGAAAGAGAAACGTATTGAAACAACAATTCCCCTTTTCAGATACACAAAGTACTATATTAGGTATAACGGGTGTTTAAAATTCAACACCGATAATGAGGATCGCAGAATCAGAAAGCCGAATATCACACGATCAACATTTATTTGTGATCCGTCAGTATTTGCCATGAAATGTGATATTTATTTACGGTGTAGCCTGATCGTCAGTAATAACTGACGCTGAAATCCGCTGATACTGTTGGAATTATCAGTTAATACTGGTGTTACGCACTACAGTAAGTACTCTATAAAGAAAGCGTCCTCGACTTAACCACCAACCACGATCACGCCCACTATTATTAGTACAATATACCTCATATTCATCATTTCATTTCGTTTCGTTTCATTTCATTCATATTTCATCTCATACCATACTTCATATCATATTTTATTTCACTTCATATTTCATTCCGTTTCATATTTCATTCCAAATTTCATTTTGTTCCGTATTTCGTTCCGCATTTCGTTCCGTATTTCGTTCCGTATTTCGATCCGTATTTCGTTCCGTATTTCGTTCCGTATTTCGTTCCGAATTTCGTTCCGTATTTCGTTCCGTATTTCGTTTCGTATTTAGTTTCGTATTTCGTTTCGTATTTCGTTTCGTATTTCGTTTCGTATTTCGTTTCGTATTTCGTTTCGTATTTCGTTTCGTATTTCGTTTCGTATTTCGATTCGTATTCCGTTTCGTATTTCGTTTCGTATTTCGTTTCGTATTTCGTTTCGTATTTCGTTAGGTATTTCGTTCCGTATTTCGTTCCGTATTTAGTTCCGTATTTCGTTCCGTATTTCGTTCCGTATTTCGTTCCGTATTTCGTTAGGTATTTCGTTCCGTATTTCATTCCGTATTTGGTTCCGTATTTCGTTCCGCATTTCGTTCCGTATTTCGTTCCGTATTTCGTTCCGAATTTCGTTCCGTATTTCGTTCCGTATTTCGTTTCGCATTTCGTTTCGTATTTAGTTTCGTATTTCGTTCCGTATTTCGTTTCGTATTTCGTTCCGTATTTCGTTCCGTATTTCGTTCCGTATTTCGTTCCGTATTTCGTTCCGTATTTCGTTCCGTATTTCGTTCCGTATTTCGTTCCGTATTTCGTTCCGTATTCCGTTTCGTATTCCGTTCCGCATTTCGTTCCGTATTTCGTTCCATATTTCGTTCGTATTTCGTTCCGTATTTCGATCCGTATTTCGTTCCGTATTTCGTTCCGAATTTCGTTCCGTATTTCGTTTCGTATTTCGTTTCGTATTTCGTTTCGTATTTCGTTTCGTATTTCGTTTCGTATTTCGTTTCGTATTTCGTTAGGTATTTCGTTCCGTATTTCGTTCCGTATTTCGTTCCGTATTTCGTTCCGTATTTCGTGCCGTATTCCGTTTCGTATTTCGTTGCGTATTTCGTTGCGTATTTCGTTCGTATTCGTTTCGTATTTCGTTTCGTATTTCGTTTCGTATTTCGTTTCGTATTTCGTTCGTATTTCGTTTCGTATTTCGTTTCGTATTTCGTTTCGTATTTCGTTTCGTATTTCGTTTCGTATTTCGTTTCGTATTTCGTTTCGTATTTCGTTTCGTATTTCGTTTCGTATTTCGTTTCGTATTTCGTTTCGTATTTCGTTTCGTATTTCGTTTCGTATTTCGTTTCGTATTTCGTTTCGTATTTCGTTTCGTATTTCGTTTCGTATTTCGTTTCGTATTTCGTTTCGTATTTCGTTTCGTATTTCGTTTCGTATTTCGTTTCGTATTTCGTTTCGTATTTCGTTTCGTATTTCGTTTCGTATTTCGTTTCGTATTTCGTTTCGTATTTCGTTTCGTATTTCGTTTCGTATTTCGTTTCGTATTTCGTTTCGTATTTCGTTTCGTATTTCGTTTCGTATTTCGTTTCGTATTTCGTTTCGTATTTCGTTTCGTATTTCGTTTCGTATTTCGTTTCGTATTTCGTTTCGTATTTCGTTTCGTATTTCGTTTCGTATTTCGTTTCGTATTTCGTTCGTATTTCGTTCGTATTCGTTTCGTATTTCGTTTCGTATTTCGTTTCGTATTTCGTTTCGTATTTCGTTTCGTATTTCGTTTCGTATTTCGTTTCGTATTTCGTTTTATATTTCATTTTGTCCTTTTGTTTGCTATAAGGAGGAAATCTTGACAAAAATCTTTGGTTAGTTTTTGACTGTCAAAATTATCTCCATTTTGATTGGTTTAACACGTTTACTCAAACCTGGCAACCCTGTGTCTTGATTTCCTTTCTCCTTTCGAGAATAGAGTATTTTCGAATCGATAGAAAACCGGGGGAGTAGAAAAAGAGAGGAAGGGAAGTCAAGAATAGGGGGACAGATAAATCGCTTTTTTACGAGAAGTGGAACCTTTAATTCTCATTACGAACATATGTGTGTAAGCGTACGAAATATCTCAAACACAGTTTTGCATGCGAGTTCAACCCTGTAGCACACAAAACAATCTTTCCAGAAGGTTCACAAGGCTGCTTAGTGTCACTCAGCGCGACGGCCCTTACGCGTGTTTATGTTTTATATATTCCAATCCTTCTCTGGGTACTTGGTCCTAGGATAAACTTTCTTAAAGATACGGGCTTGGCTCGGATTGCAGTTCAAATAGTGCGTGGAAGAGATCGCTTCTCAAACCAAGTAGTGCGCTTTGTGGACCTAATAACAGTGTTGATGATCTATTGGGTGTAGTGTTTTGATTACCTGAAAGGTGAGCAATCACTGAGTGTTTCCTTTATTCTACTGTACTGCATGGATTGATAACCATAATACTATAAAATACATGATCATGCATGTCTTAAGCCATGCTTATAAAGACCCTATACTTTTTACCTTCATAATTTAATTTATGGCTTACGACTTGTTATTGAATATCTGCAGGTAGGATGCCTCCAGTTTCTGGATTTGTTATGAGACTTTCGGAGCCCGTTTTCTTGGTAGAGGTAGTTATGTTAATTACTGCTCGGTTTCCTCTACCAGGGGAAACGTCGGAGCGCTTGGGATGTTGACACGGTGGCCGTTGGTCGAACTGGCGTCCTAGGTCTGAATGACCGCTTAACTATCTTCTCTTGGCAATCGCTGGAGTCTGAATGTATCTCATGGCAGGTTGTGTGAGAGGATTGTTACTTTAATGATAGTCATCTTGCTCGATTATCTCTGATTCAGGGGTAACGTCGGAGATTTGGGGTATTGACATGGCAACGTGATATCCCGGTTCCTGGACAGCCTTTTTGTAACAATCGTTAAACTCGGCACGTCTGACCATACACCTAGCGGCCAAAGAGTTTGTCTGTGTGACGACTCCCAGTCAGTCTGTGTGACGACTGAATGATCAGTCTGTGTGACGGTCACGATTAGTCTGTGTGACGATCCCATGATTCAGATGATGACGAATCCTTACTAGTAGTTGGGGTACACTAATGTAATGGTAAATAGTAGATTTTTGCATGTGATGTTACGAGTCAGTTGAATACGGGAGATACTTGTAAGTCTTTTTATAAAAATAGGTGTTGGCCCCGATAATCCGATCATATCGCCCTTATCGCTTGCCAAAGAAGGATAACTCGTTGTAGTTTCGTCACCAAGTAAGTGTTTTTAATATTACCCTGACATTGTTGCCCATATCGAGTTGTTTACGTACTGCCCATGTAGTAAAAATGAAATGGTACGGGGCGGTACTTCGAAATCTTCTAAGATGAGGTGTTTTCACGTTTATATTTATATTTCTATTATCATATCTCGTTCGTATCCTATATGTGGTCGTAAGGAAATTCCCGTTCTGTAAGAATCCACTCGTTTGAACACAAATTTTCTAGAAATGTCTGGTGCGGCATTTTCAATTTCGAACTGTTTATGCACAAATTTTGCGGAAATACGCTTTTCTTTAGTAAAAAGATACCGCACTTGTATCCGTCAGAATAGTGGTCTTTTTGAACATTTATTGGAATAAAGCATTGATTATCTAACTTAAAAAACAAAGAGTAATTATTTATAGTAAATTCAAGGTGAAATTCGAAAAATTGCGCGTTTTGAAAAAAAAATTCAGTGACGTATAATTTGTATTGGGAAAAATAATGCCATTAATCCCCTGTATCTCCACCACTGGTGCATGTTAATTTTAAGTAAAGACTTTTTAATGTGGGCAATACTTAGATAAATCCACTTACCAAATTTTAGTTCCATCCAGTTGAAGGTTTTGAAGGTATTAAAGAAAAATGTTTTATTTCAACTTCAAGCCCTCGAGGAAAAAATGTTACATAGTAGATCCTCCTTAAAATGCGGTCCTGCGTATGATGTTTCATTTTTGGTCACGACTTGTGAATCACCTTGTATAGATATGGAAGAGAAACGATCTTTAGCTTGATAAATGCCTCTCTAAATGGCTGGATATAACTCAGATCTGCGATGGCTCTAATGCAGTGCCTCTGTAGTGCAAATACTTCAAGAATATGCACAGGGAGATCCCAGTTCAAGAGTGCATATTACATTCTTGAGTGGAACTATCCATATGTGGTTAGCAACGCATCACCAGAAATACAGCTTTTCAGATTCTTAAGTGGTCTTGAATAGTTCCCTGAGAATACTGTTTACATATTCCTCCTAAGTCATGTGTGTATCAATACTGACACCCAATTTTACTATGGTATTGAAGTTATGGTGACAGACCTTACCACGTACTGTGTCTTTGAAGCATCAAGTGTCAGTTTATTTAAAAACCAACTTTCTAAATTTATTATATAATATTCAATATTCGCAGAGAAAAGTAGATCAATCGAATTGCTGGTACATAGTATTGTTGTGTCACCGACAAACAGTATAAGGTTTTTGTTTCTATTAAAATTAGGAAGGTCATTTATGTATATTAAGAATAAAAGTGCACCCAGTACAGAGCCCTGTGGAATGCCACATGGAACTGTCATTGTACTGGAGGTAGTGTTGTTGAAGGTTAAAAGCTGCTGTATGCTGCTCAAATAAGATG